TTTGCGCATTTTCGTAAGCTTCTTCAAGAATTTGTCCATATTTCGTAAGCTCGTCCTTTAAAATAGATTTCAATTTTATGGACCATGCAAATCAAATGATCAAAGTTTACCTTCACATACTGATCATTAGCAACACCTTCGTTAATAATATGTTCTTGGTATTTTTCCAAAGCTGTTGGCATTTTCTTGATTCTCTGGTACATAAGTGGCTGAGTGAACATGGGCTCATCCAATTCGTTATGGCCGTGTCTATATAAATTGAAACTTCAAGACTTCAAAAATTCATTTGCAAAAAGACGACCCTCTACCTTCTGTAGCACACAATATCAATAATCACGTCCTTCTTGAAGGTCTTCCTCCATTCCGCGGCAACATTGCACACATGCATTACAGCTTCTGGATCATCGGCATTTACGTGGAAAATAGGGCATCCAAGTGCGCGACCAACATCAGTACAGTATGGCGATGAGCTGTATGTAGAATAGATAAACACAGAGTAAAATATGCAGAATAGATAAACACAGAGTAAAATATGCAGCGATGAGAAGTATTAAAATTATCAAAGCATAGACATATCTGGTTTTTGGAAGCTTCTTGACTTTGACTATACATATTTTTCACATACATTTCAAATCTATATCTGTTGCATTCCATAATGCACATAAATTATCGTTATCGCCATGCAAAATGATAAATAAGGTAAGGCGTTGTACCGTAAATGACGTCAACAAAGTCTCTTTCTTTTTCAAAGCAAGTGATATAGCTTAAATGATCCTTCTCCTGACTAAATCCAACGGCTCTTTCTGCATTACAAGTCTTCTTTTAAAGGATCATCTCGTAATCAACAACACGTAATCACAATGCAAAAATCTACAATTTCTCTATATATGTTGTGTCACATGATGTGCATTATAAACTCCCTTGACTGTGTTTGAGCGATCTATGCAAAAAAAAATCTCAAAGATTACCATCAAAGCGTAAGACCATATTCCAAATTGTCAGGACAAAAAATTGAGACTCACCGTGAATACCTTGGATCCGTAGTAAATCCAACTTGGTTGTTTACAACAATGTGGATGCAACCATGAGT